TTTTTTTAAATCATTTTTCCCATTAAAGGAGAACCATGTGGGGAGTGCTTTTCACTCACCTCATAGTTCTAGCCGACCTGTGACAATGAGACTGAAGGGAAGGACGGAGGTCAGATAGAAGACTGAAGGAGAGGACGGAGGTCAGATAGAAGACTGAAGGAGAGGACGGAGGTCAGATAGAAGACTGAAGGAGAGGACGGAGGTCAGATAGAAGACTGAAGGAGAGGACGGAGGTCAGATAGAAGACTGAAGGAGAGGACGGAGGTCAGATAGAAGACTGAAGGAGAGGACGGAGGTCAGATAGAAGACTGAAGGAGAGGACGGAGGTCAGATAGAAGACTGAAGGAGAGGACGGAGGTCAGATAGAAGACTGAAGGAGAGGACGGAGGTCAGATAGAAGACTGAAGGAGAGGACGGAGGTCAGATAGAAGACTGAAGGAGAGGACGGAGGTCAGATAGAAGACTGAAGGAGAGGACGGAGGTCAGATAGAAGACTGAAGGAGAGGACGGAGGTCAGATAGAAGACTGAAGGAGAGGACGGAGGTCAGATAGAAGACTGAAGGAGAGGACGGAGGTCAGATAGAAGACTGAAGGAGAGGACGGAGGTCAGATAGAAGACTGAAGGAGAGGACGGAGGTCAGATAGAAGACTGAAGGAGAGGACGGAGGTCAGATAGAAGACTGAAGGAGAGGACGGAGGTCAGATAGAAGACTGAAGGAGAGGACGGAGGTCAGATAGAAGACTGAAGGGGAGGACGGAGGTCAGATAGAAGACTGATTGTATGGTGAGATCTGAGCACATATGAAGTTCCCAATAGCAAACAACTGCTACGCGCATGTCACATATTATTTCCCGCGTGGCCCGCGGTTACCCGACTGCAGCAAACCGCGTGGTGTATGGCCCTTTTTAGATGCCACGGAAATCGCTCCCGTGCCACCGTGTATTTTTGGCGGCAAAGCTGCTCCTGGCACGATGCGACTTAGCCGTGCTGCACTTGGAAGCCCGGCCACGATATAAACATTTACTAGCAGTTGTAAAATCGCGGCACGTCAATAACGAGCGGCGGGGACACAAGGCGGGAAGCCTGTTTGCAATTACGGAGGGGAGGAAATGTTGTTATCCAGGTAATGAGGGACCGGCAATCCCGGCCATTAAAAAGGAAAAGGTCGGACTTCAAAAAACAAAAAAAAGGGATTTCTGAGTCATAAAGGGCCGCTTCCGATAAACCAGGCAGCTGACTCACAGAGGACAGCTGAGGACAAGACGGAGCGGTCAGCTGACTCACCGCGGCACACACACACACACACCCCCGTCCGTTGTAAAAAGTTGGAGGGTGGTCACTCGCAGGTTATCCAAGCCGGTCAGCAATTACCGCAGAGTGCACGACTGTACCCGGCACGAGAACGCAGAGCCGCACCAGCATCGCACAGTATTTACATCAATATCCTACAGAAATATAGTTACCCTATACAGCCAAGTATGGCGTCACAGCATTTGAACCGATTTTGGAAGACCAGGGTCTTCCTCCCGTGTGCCGGTACCGTTCATCCTAGCGTTCATTTTGTGCACTCGCTACGGCCGTCGGTACTTCTATTGTCTCGTCTGCGGTCTGCACTGTAACTGCAGACATGTACTGTTAATAGGAAAGTCATCTGCCTTGCATTCCCTGTTTCATTCACATATCATCATTGTCAGAAACCATGACTGATGATGGCTGCACTGCACCTGTGTAATCACTGGAGACCACAAACTGCTAAGAATGCACCTGTGTAATCACTGGAGACCACAAACTGCTAAGAATACACTGTCCCTCATAGGTTTGGCTGAGAACAAAGAGGGCTTTAAAGACAAACTCAAGGAAAAAGTGACCATTTAAAGACGCACGAGGTGTGTAAATAATCAATAAAAAGCTGCAGCAAAGTATAAAAATGTTACCTTGTAGCATGCCGGTTCCTACACAGGCGCTGCAGGGGAGGGAGGGATGAGACTCGAGCAGTGAAGAGCTCCAGTCGCATTCCTGTCCCTTCTTGCTACTTGCTCATTCACAAAACGCCTTGTATTTTTCTTGATGAATACAAGGCCTTCGGTCATTGGAGAGATGACGTCACCATCCCGCCCCTCCTTTAATTACAGAACACTGTGTATTTGTTGGGGAAAAAAACAAAAACCATAAGGCAGGGGTAGCCAAACTCCGGCCCCTTCAGCTGTGGTGGAACTACAAATCCCATGAGGCATTGCATGATTCTCACAGCCACAGACACGACTCCCGGAGAGAGATGCCTCATGGGATTTGTAGTTTCACCACAGCTGGAGGGGCCGGAGTTTGGCTACCCCTGCCATAAGGTGTTGAGAAAAATACACCCCCCCAGTCTGAGACTGGACAGTCAAGGAGAAGCAGCAGACTGATTAAGTCATCTCTCTGCTCTAGTCACAGGTCTCGTTAACGCCAATTGGCTCCGTGTGCTGCTTTTCCCTCTCCGGGTCCGAGTTCTGCTGTACAGGAGATTGCAAGAGGCTGATACCTGGTCAAATCCAGATACTTACAAGGTCAGCTTTGCACACATATCTGCCTGGAACTCAGCTTTGAGCTGTCGATTCCTTTGAGACATGTGACACCACCGAGGCACAAGACCAGGGGTAAGCAACTGTGGCACTCCAGCTGTTGTCAAACTACAAGTCCCATGAGGCATTGCAGGACTATGACAGCCACAGGCATGACTCCCAGAGGCAGGGGCATGACGGGATTTGTCGGTTTTGCCACAGCTGGAGGGCCAGAGTGTGGCTACCCCTGTTCTACAGGTAAGGGGGAGTAAGGATCCAGTTGATGGACGTTGCAGCGTCACCAGTGCGTCAGCGGCCGCCATTTTACATTGACCTGTTTGGACATTTCACAGAACTGAGTGTCGAGATTGCCTTTGCTGAAACAAAACAATTGTTGCCTCAAATCCCGGGGATGTCACTTGTTCCCAATGAGCCAACAGGCCGAATAAAGAAAATAAAATGTACCTATACGGGACGACTACTTGGATCCAAGTCCACAGCCAACAGCAGCCACAAGCAATAACAGGAAAATGGCGGCCGCTAACACAGCGGTGACCCTACAGCAGCCCATCGACTGGATAGGCCGGCGGCTCTCAGACAGTCGATTGCTCTCGTGTGCGTTCCCTCGCTCTCGGTTTGTTTTGTCAGTGCGAGGTTCCCACAAGAGACAAATATTTACATTCGGAGATGTCGTTTTCGGCTGTCAGGGGGAAAAAATTGAAAAGGCCCTTCCTCGTTATTCTTTATTTAACTGCAGCGAGGAAATGATTTGTTTTCTCGTCTGTTTGACCCGGCGCAGGACAAAAACACCTTGCAAATGTCAGCCACTAGACAAGAGAGGGGGGGAGGGGGGCAATCAACGGAGAGAAGGATATATGGAGAGAATTTCACTTTTGTAAACAGTGACATCATCGCAGTGACATCATACCCATCTCTTCACTGATAAAGCAAAACTCCGGGCTTGAAGAAAAAAAAAAAAAAGCGTAGAATTAAAGTGATATTCACGTCAAAAAGGTTTTTAAAGGAGAACTGTGAGGGGGGTGCTTTTCACTCACCTCATAGTTCTAGCCGACCTGTGACAATGAGACTGTCACAGGTCGGCTCAGTAGATCGGGAGGTGAGCGAACACATACCGGCGTTCGCTTACCTCTCGATCCTGTCACTGCTCTCTGCCGTGACAGGGGAGGGGCTGGATTCCCCTCTCCCCGCTCCGATCTGCCAGCGCTGACTGGCGGAACGGACGGGGGAGGGGGCGGGTACAGCTGGCTCTGCCTCTAGATAGGCAGAGCCAGCTGTCAGTCACGCAGCTGGGCGGATCCCAGCACAATTGTCGGGATCCGCTTCAGCTGCGGCGTTTCAGTATACCGCGAGGTGGAGCTCGCGGTATACCGAGCCTAGGGTGACGGGAGGACGCTAGTTTGTATCCTCCCGTTACCCTAAGGAGAACTATGGGGGAAAGCCCTGACCCCATAGTTCTCCTTTAAGGTTTTTCAAATGCTGATGAATTCACTTACAATGGATGCAGCTGATTGATGTTTAAAGGTTTAGCTTGCTGCAGAACCAGCCGGTCCCGAGCACTGGTCCCGATATCCCGTTCTAGGGCGACTCCTTTATCTTGCAGTGTCCTATGAAGCCACCCTTGTGTGTGCTAGTATTGCAATTGTCTACGGTCCCCGAGTCGTCACATCCAATACACTGTAAAGGATGTGAAGACACTGAGTGATGTACCATCGCTGCAGTGTAGGAGGAGAAAGGATGGAGGGAGTGCTGCCGACTATGAGGATCGGGTAAGTAGAACTTTTACCCTATGTAAAAGAAAACGAGCAGTTAAACCCTTGCAGAGCCAGGGTAGCCTCACTGCAAGGGTTAACAACATTTCTGCCCGGAGTTCCTCTTTAAGGCCTCATTCACACAAGAAAAGGCCGGCATGTACCGTTCCGTGCTGCGTGCACGGCCGTATCGGGCAGCTCCCGGGAAAGACAGGTGCTGCGTGTGATTAGTACGCGGCCCGCGGCCTTCTCTATGGGAGTAAGCCGCCCTACGCTCACCCCAAGTGCAGGTCCGTACGGGTGCGGGTGTCCCAGCTCGGACACAGACAGGTTACATCCTGTCGGTGTACGAGTACGGACACCCGCACCCGTACGGACCTGCACTTGGGGTGAGCGCAGGGCGGCGTACTCCCATATAGAAGGACAGGGGCCGCTTACTAATCACAGGTAGCACCTGTCCTTCCCGGGACCTGCCCGATACGGCCGTGCACGTCGGCCTTTTCTCGTGTGAATGAGGCCTAAAGCACATTACATATTGCACCATATTTCTGGTCATCTAACACAGCGAATCATAGAATGCAGCTTGCGTTAATATCAGGAGGGAGCACTGTGCAGGAGGAGCGCAGGCTCGGCCCTGAACTCCGGCACGGGACGCAGATCAATAAGCCAATCGTGACAGTAAGCGCTCACCGTTCTGCTCGTCCAGCTCGTTCCCGATGTCGTAGCCCATCTGCTTCTGTCGGCCCAGGATGTTGGAGAGCGCATCCAAACCGGCATCTTGTTCTGAGAACAAAGAGATTTTATTCTTAGATTCACTTTTAGTATTTTAGCCTTTTGTACACAAGTCAAACCTATAGGAGAGATCGTTTGGGGGAGGGGTGCCGGGGGCAATTATTATTTAACAAAGGCGCAGAGAACAGATTTGTAATTGTGAGGAAGGAATAGCATTAAAAAAAAAGGAGAATTGGATCCTCAAGCTAAAAATAAACTTTTTTATCTCATAGGTGTAATTATGATCCGTTTACTGTAAATAGTCGCACCGACGCGTCACTGCTTGCATACCTGAGAGTCGGAAGCAAGGGAGCGAACTGATAAGAGTGTATGTATGAGCAAGAGTTCAGGAAAAGGACTATGTTGAGTAACATATTTGTGTTACATCAGTGGCAATTACAGCTGCCTCCCCGAAGTCTCACTCCGAAACCTAGTATGGAGCAGTCTGATAAGGGATTACTGAGGCCTGACACATTCACAGAGCTACGGAGCTCTGTAAACTACAGCTTGAGCTACAGAGCTCTGTAAACTGCAGCTTAAGCTACGGAGCTCTGTAAACTGCAGCTTGAGCTACGGAATCAAAGTCTGTAAACTGCAGCTTGAGCTACGGAGCAAAGTCTGTAAACTGCAGCTTGAGTACAGAACTATTTGTACATTACAGCTCGAGCTACAGATCTCTCTATTTGTATTGAGATTGTAGTTCATCCCGGGAGCGAGCTTGGAGCAGTGACTCCTTTACAACACACAGAGGGACCATGGGGAACACAAGTAGCCCCCCTCCAGAAGGAAGGACAGTGTCAGCACCAATTCAGAGATGATTTGAGGATCTACAGCCGAGTGATACACAAATAAGATACATTGTTGTTTTTAAGGTTTAATGTGATCTGTGGCCCCAGTGACCAGTAGGGAGGTGTGGCCAAGTCTGACTTTTACAGAAAAGGTCAAGACTCGGGACACAACTTCAGCTGCCTTTATCTCGGCCTATCCTGATGGTTTTGACTTGCGGTTTTCACGGAGGGTCACCTCTGCTTATGTATTTTTTTCCCCCATCACATGCTCGCTTTGAACTGCCCAACATTTTTGACAAGTTCACTTGAAAGACTTTCCAAAAACTGGAGGTTCCCAGTTTAAAAAGCCAAAACGCTAATACATACAAATAACATATAGAACACTTTCCAAAAAGAGTTCAACTCTTTCCCTGTTAGGCTGTTATAAGTCAAGCTGAGGAATTAACTAGGTCATCGCTTGTGTCTTCTCGGTTTGGTCGTGTTCCTGGAGTCCAGACACCACGAAACAGCCCGGGCCAAGTCTGTAAGCAACGGGCCAGATGTGCCCTAATTACATCGAGTCTTTATATTAAAAGGCCCCTGCTTTTAATCATACTTTGCTCAACTGGCGAGTTACATGAAAGCAGAGCTGCTAAGAGGCTGTAGGAGAGTCCGGGGATGTGCCGGCTACAAGGGTTGAAGAAAGTTGAAAGGATTAGAGAAAAAAAAAATGAATAGGCAGGACAGACGACCAGAGCATAAAACATTACTTGGTGGGGTAATTGGACTGAAACGCTGGGATTTGAAGGATGAACATACTCAAATATTTTAATGCAGCAATAACATGGAGCCTTGTGGAGGCGCCAACTTTTTTGCCTTTGAAAACTTTCTCAGAAAATAGTTTGAAATAAATTGGTCGTAATTAACTTTAATAGTGCGAACTATGGTTCACTGCAAAAACCTTCTGGCATAACGGACAGCGCTGGTGTGTCACAATGCCGTGCGAGTTTGTGCCATCTGAAGGTTTGCATGTCTACATGTGGTGTGTCTGCATGCATGTGATGGGACAGGCTGCGTTCTCATGAATATGAAGGGTCTCGGTGATGTCACTGGTTTCTAGTGATGGGATAGGCTGCGTTCTCATGAATATGAAGGGTCTCGGTGATGTCACTGGTCTCTAGTGATGGGATAGGCTGCGTTCGCATGAATATGAAGGGTCTCGGTGATGTCACTGGTCTCTAATGATGGGACACGCTACGTTCTCATGAATATGAAGGGTCTCGGTGATGTCACTGGTTTCTAGTGATGGGATAGGTTGCGTTCTCATGAATATGAAGGGTCTCGGTGATGTCACTGGTCTCTAATGATGGGACACGCTACGTTCTCATGAATATGAAGGGTCTCAGTGATGTCACTGGTCTCTAGTGATGGGATAGGCTGCGTTCTCATGAATATGAAGGGTCTCAGTGATGTCACTGGTCTCTAGTGATGGGACAGGCTGTGTTCTCATGAATATGAAGGGTCTCGGTGATGTCACTGGTCTCTAATGAAGGGATAGTCTATGATTTTTAGTAACGTGAAGCATCTCGGTGATGTCACTGGCCCATAGTAAAGTGCTGTTACCTGATATCATCCGTTGCTGCTGTTGCTTCAGCTCCCTGTTTGACAGATTCCTGGTCTCTTCTGGCTCCTCCAGCACCCAGGGGTTGTACTTAGAGATACCTGAGGCTCCACCGCTTAGCAGGCTCGATCTGGTAACAAACAAATGGGAACACTGACATAACCACGAGCAGGAAAATATAAAAGAACTTCACATTCACTCATTAATTAGCAGTCTGTGCTTAGATTTTAGCCAACCGGCACAAGTGCCACACAGCACAAGCGCATCCAAATGCCCTCCTGTGTTTATGACTTGCACAGAGAACAAGGAACAGTACAGTACAATGGCTTACATCAGTAGGAAGCAAGGGCCAAAAACTTAGTATTTAAAGCTGCCTTCCTGTATATTAATGACTGGAAATTACACGTAGTAACACATTTGTAAGAACATTTACGCATTTAAAAAAAAATTAATACATGCTCATATAAAAACCCCTTTAAAATACCAAACAATTCCCTTTAAAAAGGCCACACAAACTAAGTAGGCATCTTTGTTTAAAAGAGAACTATGAGGTGAGTGCTTTTCACTCACCTCATAGTTCTAGCCGACCTGTGACAATGAGACTGTCACAGGTCGGCTCAGTAGATCGGGAGGTGAGCAAACACATACCGGCGTTCGCTCACCTCTCGATCCTGTCACGGCTCTCTGCCGTGACAGGGGAGGGGCTGGATTCCCCCCTCCCCGTTGCGATCCGCCAGCGCTGACTGGGAAGGGGCGGGTACAGCTGGCTCTGCCTCTAGATAGGCAGAGCCAGCTGTCAGTCACGCAGATGGGCGGATCCCGTCACAATTGTCGGGGATCCGCTTCAGCTGCGGCGTCTCAGTATACCGCGAGCTACAGCTCACGGTATACTGAGCCTAGGGTGACGGGAGGACGCTAGTTTGTGTCCTCCCATTAGCCTAAGGATAACTATGTGGAAAAGCCCTAACCCCATAGTTCTGCTTTAAAAGAGATAAGTACACAACACCTAAAAGGGGATGATGAGATTGTTTGGAGATAAAACAAAAGAAAAAAAAACCGTTCCTGAAAGATCAGTTATTGAAAAATACACTCTGGGAGCTTTGCTGGGAATGGGATGTGATATCGGAGTGACAGCAACGCAATACGCTAAAAGAATCCCACTTGTAACTACTGTGTGCTCCATAGAGTGGAGTAGAGAGCCATCTAGTGGTTAAATTGGGGCAGTGCAGGGGTCTGTTTCGCCCATAGCAATTAGTCATCTGCTTTGCTTCGGTAAAGATTTATTCAGACTGACATGGAGCTGCATTTCCCAGACCTAACTCCTTGCTCAGCTACTTACCTGCGGAGTTGTAGACTTTGAAGTAGACGTACACTATAACTAAATGAGCTGTGTATGAAACAACAGGCTTTTTTTCAAATAAAATATTGTTGTCACTTCTTTTCCTTTTTTGTTGCATTTCATCAGTGCTGCTGATCTCTTGCCACTTCCTGTCCACATGCACTCCACCAATGGCTGCATGGCATTTCTAATGGCGGGTTTCCTGATGGCACCAACAGCAGACCATGTCTGTGCAATGTGTGCTGAAATGACCACTTGTAGCCACCAGCCTGTGTGACAGGGTGACAACGTGGAAGCACACCTGGAAGGCCATGGCAGAGCGTTGTCAATCTAACAGAAAATGCCTGAACAAAGGCCTTCATGGCAGGATCACCGGGAATTTTTAAAAATACTAAACAAGTACAAAGGTTTTGCTGATGGTGACAACAGTGGACCACATATGTGCAAAGTGCTGCGCAAAACTGTTGGCGCTATATAAATCCTGTATAATAATAATAATGTTGGTTAAACAGGCGACTTGTAGTCTCAAAACGCAGCAACACAATTGGGAGACAGGGACAGAGTGTTGTCACCCTAAGTGCCTGAACTGGTGCGTTCATGGCAGGACCACCAGATATTATTTTAAGGCTGAACTAGGAGCTCAATATATTCCTCAGTATGTGAAATAATGTAGAGGATATAAATCCACAGCAAATGGCTTTGCACACCCAGTAGCAGTGACATAATCACTGTGCTGCACATAGCCTGTGCAGACAGCTGAACTGTGGGAGGGACCCAACCTGCCCCACTCCATGCTGCCTGCAGAAAACTGTAGGAGGGGGCAGAGAGAAGACCAGTCACCCTGCACAAGGAGAGCAGCAGTGACAGGTCTTTAATACAAGAGGGGGGCGGAGACAAGACCAGTCACCCTGCACAGGGAGAGAGAGCTGCATTGACCGGTCTTTATTACAGGAGGGGGCGGAGACAAGACCAGTCACCCTGCACAAGGAGAGAGCAGCAGTGCCCGGTCTGTATTACAGGAGGGGGCGGAGACAAGACCAGTCACCCTGCACAAGGAGAGAGCAGCAGTGCCCGGTCTGTATTACAGGAGGGGGCGGAGACAAGACCAGTCACCCTGCACAAGGAGAGAGCAGCAGTGCCCGGTCTGTATTACAGGAGGGGGCGGAGACAAGACCAGTCACCCTGCACAAGGAGAGAGCAGCAGTGCCCGGTCTGTATTACAGGAGGGGGCGGAGACAAGACCAGTCACCCTGCACAAGGAGAGCGAGAGAGCAGCAGTGACCGATCTTTATTACAGGAGTTACCCTCCCCCTCCCCCGTCCGTTCCGCCAGTCAGCGCTGGCGGAGCGGGGAGGGGGGAAGCCAGCCCCTCCCCTGTCACGGCAGAGAGCTGCGACAGGATCGAGAGGTGAGCGAACGCCGGTATGTGTTCGCTCACCTCCCGATCTACTGAGCCGACCTGCGACAGTCTCATTGTCACAGGTCGGCTAGAACTATGAGGTGAGTGAAAAGCACCCACCTCATAGTTCGCCTTTAAAATGTGCCGAAAATGACAATTGTTTTTCACACACAGTGTCCAAGTTGCATCTTTAGAAACATTATAGAACAAATCCATTGTGCCCGATAGAAGCTGTATAAGCCTATTGGAGCATTTATTCCCGTATGCCTCCTGCGTGGCGCGTTAACGGGAAACAGTAGCCAAAGTTTAGACCCGTCGGTCATTTTCACTCATTAAAAAAAAAACAAAAAAAAAACAGTGAAAATATTTTCTTTTCAGCCCAGAAAATAAACCCCTTGACATGATACAGAGATATTTCGGGATTATCCCAGCTGGAAAGTGTAATCTCCCTGACAAGTTCAGTGAGAGATTTTCCCCGCGGGCCACCATCGTCTTCCTCCCATCGTCTGATCCGGGCCCGGCTCGGCTTTTCACTGGTGTGAAGATTAAAGATTATCCAATTAGCCACCCACCTCCTCAGTCTTCCTAATCGCCTAAACCCCTCAAATCATCGCTGTGCGCTGGAGTGTGCAGAGCGCTTGTGATTACAGCTGCAGATTTAACTAATTATCAGAAACCCAGCAAAGAGAAAGCCGTGATGGCGCGCTTTATGAACAGCGGGCTACGGCGGCCGTTTAATGAACAGGGGCCGATCTCGTCACAAGTGGCGAGAGAGCATGGAGCCGGCTTCCCGACCAATCAGGAAGCCGGGCAGCGTGTTATGACGCGCTGCCCAGCTTCCTGACACCGGAAGTATCAGGCTAGGCATCGGAGCATTTGGCCGAGTACGAGTACACGCCCAAATACTCGGCATCGGCAACGATACTACGGTAGTATCGGTATCGGTGCATCCCTACCTGTAACTGTCAGTCTTGCAATGCCTCAAGGGACTTGTAGTTCCACAACAGCTGGGAGGCCAGAGTTGCCCACCCCTGTTTTAAACAATATGAAGAAAAGCTGACCATTTTAGGCACCCCTACCAGTGTTATATGGTTTGGTCCAAACACTGCAACTGTCACTTTGGTTGGACAGCTTGGCCCGCACGTCAATGTGGAGAAGAATACAAATACGGAGACATGTAAAATAAAAAATAGAGTTCATACTCTGAATACTATAAATCACAGGTATTAACCCTACACAGTACCACAGTACAATGTTTTTCACTAACGTGGGCCTTTAAACTAGAAGGGTTTGAGTAAAAAAAACAAAAAAAAGGCCGAGTGTGTTGCCTCCTTTGTTGATGGTGACACTTCCATCTCCCCACTGATATTTTGACTACTGCGGCCAACCATGAATGTTCTCCGTCTGACCGAGATTCACTGAATGGTGACCGAAAGTAAACTCTGACTAATTTCCTTAATTTCTTGTGCAGAGGAGACGCGGGCGTTGGGTCCGGCCTCATGTGATCAGCAGAGCGGGAAGCGGAAACATGTGACAAGGGGGACAGAGGACGGAAGCTGTCAGCTCAGGAATGACTGACGAGGAGTGAAGGTCCAGAACAGGAGTCACAACGTTCCAGCTCTTGAGTAAAGAGAAAAGCCGGATTCATCGCTCCGGTACCCCTGCCCCTTGTGCCCCATTCAAACTGCCAAGACTAATGGTTTAAATGAGAGCGTCTAGTGGCCCTTCCATGCTGTGACCCCAGAGAGATGGACAGAATTAGGCCGCGCAAGCTAAAGAGGGAAGAATACAGATTTTTACATGAAAAAAAAAAAAGGAAAAATTGACAGTATGCTCCAAGAGTGATCACATACAGTCTGTGTATGATAGGGGTGAGGACCATAGGCTGTCCTCCTTCTGGGGACAGGAACTGATCTACAGCATGTAGTAATGGGGAGGACATTCATGTGTGAGCTTCTTCTGGGAACAGGGACTCAACAACTGTAAGTACGGATGGTGAGGATCTTAGAGTGTCTTCTTCCTGGGCACAGGGATCAACAGTATTTACTAATTGTGAGAACCTTAGAGTGTGAGCTTCTCCTGGGGACAGGGACTGATTAGTGGTATGTACTAATGGTGAGGACTTCAGATCGTGAGCTCCTCCCGAGGACAGAACTGATCTATGGCATGCACCAATAGTGAGGACCTTAGAGAGTGAGCTCCTCCGGGGAACAAGGACTGATCTATGGTATGTACTAATAGTGAGGACCTTAGAGTGTGAACTCCTCCGGGGAACAGGGGCTGGACTACAGTATGTACCAAAAGTGAGGACCTTAGAGAGTGAGCTCCTCCATGGAACAAGAACTGATCTATGGTATGTACCAATAGTGAGGACCTTAGAGTGTGAAGTCCT